ATGAATATAAATGTTTAGAAATGAATATTATCATTTTGGTGCCATCTGGAATCACTGTCATGGTATAAAGAATGTTTTTTAAAATTCCTAATGATTTTCTAATTGTGAGGTTATGCTGGTGACAAAGTCTCTGTCCTTGATGTGATATTTCCCAGGAGGTGAAAATCTCATCTGTAAAATCTATCAGTTTAAAAACAAATATATACATGGGAGGGGTAAGGGAAAGCTAAGAAGGGAAAAGAAAAAATAAGAGAAAAGGAAAAAATGGAAACAAAGTCTCTGCAAATAGGAAAAGGTGAGGGGGTGAAAGGGGGGCAGGGGAATGGGGAAAAAATAAGAACCAAGATACATCATGTAAAGGTACAAGATCCCAATGATGAATGTAACTGTATTGTATACCTAAAATAAAGAAAAAAGGAAAAGCAAAACAAAACAAACAAACAAAAACAAATATACAAACATCCTCTCTTGCTCATAAAAGAGTTCAGGTTCATTATATAAGAATGAGAAAATTTTGAAATAAAAAAGAAAAGAAATAGCCATAGTCCTATTCAGACAACCACTGCTAGTGGTCTCATATTGTGATGATTTTTGTTTCAGTCCTATGAATATGCATGATATGAATATAAATATGCATATGCATATGGTCTCACACTGCCTTCTCTTTAACATGGCAACACAGGCATTTTCCTTGTTAACATGATCACTCCCTGCCTGGTCATATTTGTGTGATTCTTCTCCTGCATTTTAAGAACTTCTGGCCTCCTGCTCTGGCTGGAGTGCTCTCTCTTGCTATGTACTTCTCTCGGTTCCTCACAAGGCCACACCAGGATGTGACTCTGTGACTCACACCCCTCTGAAATGACACTGACCTCCACTGGTGTCTGCAATGGAGCCTCTGTGCTGGGTCTCTATGCAGAGCAATCACACCCTTCTTGAGGCCCATCAGGCCCCTTGGACTCTGACTCCCTGGCCAGGTCTCTTGCCCACCTAATCAGCCTCTGTGGATGGTCACCACTTACCACCTGCTTTGCAGGAGTCAGGTAAGAGATAGGACCTGCAGGTGAATGCAAAGTCGTAGATATGTTAGAGATCCGGTGCACAAGTCAGGGACTATATTTAAAGTTATATTGTATTTGGGTGCTCGTCACACACGTGGGGATCTAGTGAGTTAATGGATATGTTAATTTGCTTGACTACAGTAACTGTTTCACTGTATATGCATCTCAAAGCATCATGTTGCATACCTTTTCTATACAATAAAGAATAAAAATAAAAATTTAAAAGACTCATGAGGCCTTGTGTCTTGTTTTTGAAATACTTAGTTATAGTGTAAAGGTGTTTGTGATCAGTTTTCCCCTTTTGAATAATCAGCTTCCATATTTTTCATTTCTTACTCATTTTGGTGAGAGGAGAGTCACAAAGGGTCATTCTCAAAGGAGTCGGGGGAGGGGACATAGAGTAAGACCCACGTACGTATCCCACACGTCCTTTGCCACCTGACACCTTCCAGGCTCACGAAAGTCTCCATTCTGCTCTGAGGAGCTAGCTGAACCAGTCTTCTGATTTGTTCCCTGGTGTCCAGACCCCTCTGCCTCACCCTTCTTCAAGGCCCCCAAGGGAAAGCCTGGGTAGACGAGGAGGAGCGAGCAGGTGGGACGGGACCAGTTTCCCCCAAGAGGACACAGTACTGCACGATCAGCCTCCCCAGGACTCCTTCAGCTCTCAATCAGACCCTGACCTAAGCCATATCTTCTTCTGGGTGAACACCCCAGTCCCTGCATCTGGAAAACTCACAGCTCCAAACTCCAAGGAGTGATGATGTAATACCTATGGGATGCCCACGTGTCCCCTGGGACTCCAGGAGTCAGTCTTTAGAATGGTGTGTAGTCTACTGAGAGAGAGGCACCCACATGTCCTCCTAGCAGAAGAGGTATGACCTAAGTGTACAAAGAGCAGGGAAAAGACCCATTTCTAATTTTAAAAGCCAAATAGCCACACCTCCTCCTGCTATTAAATAATAAATCCATTGAATATTATGGAGGAACACCCATTCCGGCCACACCTGTTGGCAAATGCTGGAGGAGCCCTAATGAACACCTTTGGGCCCAAATAGGTGGGGCCTAGGGAGGTACAGGAAGTCACCTGGGACGTCCTTGACTTGCACCCCAGCAGTGGGGTGGAGAAGTACTCCTGGTGAGGCCTGGCTTCCTACTGGGCTGGATGTCCAAAAAGAAGGCACTAGTAGGCTCCAATAGCAGCCAGAAATGGAGGCCCATGGGCTATCAGGTGATCATTGACTTCAGAATTAGGGCAGCTGGGTGGCAGGGGAGTGTCACTTCCTTTATTCAGGAGGTCATCTAGAGATGACGGACAGACAGGACCTGACTCCTTTTTTTAATTTTTTTTTTTTGTTTGTTTGTTTGTTGTTGTTAGCAGGGGTGGAACTCAGGACCCTGCACTTGCAATGCAGGTGTGGCACCACTGAGCTAAATCCCCAGCCCTTTAATGGTATTTTTAAAGGGAAGTTTTATTATTTACATACATAAACTATATTATATATATTTATATATAGCCCAAGACAGTTCCTCCTCATTTTAAAAAAAGGGGGCCAAATCATTTTGGGTCCAGCCTATATAGGTGTCCATATAAACTTGTGGTCATTAAAGAAAACTTTATTTTTGTCAAGCGAGTCCCTTTCTTCTACTGTTGCCTGTAAAAAATACATTATTTATTGAAATATAAAACACAGTACAGCAAAAATGGTGGGCCAGAGGTGAGACATACTGCCCTAGAGAAGCTGGGGGACAGGAGGCTTCAGATCAGGCCAACATTGACGGAGAAAGGCCCCAATCCTCGGTCTTGCTGGACTCCTTGGAATACCACAGCACCTCAGATGGGAGAGGGTGGCATCCTGGGAGGAGTTGGAGAGGCCAGGCTGGCCTTGTAGGAACTTGCTGCCAGTAGTGCCCGCCCAGCTTCCTGAAATCCCTTCTGGTGCAGCGCCAGGGAAGGGCCAGAGGATGACACTGCAGGGGCAGAGTGGTCTCCATGAGCCAGGGAGCCCAGCCCCACCTGCCCACGTGCCAGCTTGCACCTGCCCAGTCCTGCCCAACTGGCCTGGCAGGAACCGAGAAGGCAGTAACTCCTGGCTTGGGGCAAGGGTCTCAGGACTGGCAGGTGGGGTTTCCCACAGTGATCCTGGCCCTCCCTGTACTAAAAGTGACCTCCCTGAGAGCAGGAACCGCAGCTCAGCCATGCCCTGTTGAATGGGCCACGCCCGACACACCACAGGCGTGCCTTATATAAGAGAAGCCGGCAGTACACAGACACACTAACAATGGCCACACAGACAAGGAGCTTCTTTGTGGCTGCTGCATGGATCTTAGGAAAAGCAGGGTGGCTGAGCCAGGGCAAGGTGGGTTCAGGACAGAGACAGGCACCTTCCTCCCTCTTGGAACCTTCCACTGGGGCCCCAAACCACAGCCCACAGACTGGAGGCCCGGGAGCTGTTCCCTCCCCACTTACAAACAGCCTGACTCCAGGGAATGGTGTACACGGAAGCAAGGTAGTGTGGGCCTACAAGTCACGGTGAACAGACTGCGTTTGTCCTGAGGTTAGAAATGGAAGGGGAACTCTCCCACTCTACTGTATATGGCCCTCGGTGTCAGACTCCTCCATCCAACGTCCCATGTCACCCCCAAGCCTTGTCACCTATACTGTACTCTTCCCTTTCTCCACCAAAACTCAACTCTCCCTTCCTTCCACCTGATAGCGCTGGCCTCCGCTCTGACCCATAAGAGACAAAGCACCAAGACCCATGCTCCCTCCTCCATCCAGAACTCTCCCTCCTCCTTTCATCCAGCTACCTCTTGCTCATCCTCAGAACTGCAGCTCAAATGTCACCTCCTCAGAGAAGGTGACCAGGGCACCACCTTGCAGGCATACGCTTTGACGTCTACCAGATCACAACAGCGCAAGCACAATGACTTTCAAAACTGGCCATGTGATTTTGGTGCCAGTGAGAGGTAAGCTGCAGCAAGACAAGGACTGAGTCTGTCTGGTCCATCGTGGACCCAGGTGCCCAGTACAGTGTTGCGCACATAACCGATGCTTCGTGAATACCTGAATGAGGAGGGGGTCAGGTGCGTCACTGCAGGATTCCTCCAGGGGGCCCCTGTGGCCCTGGCTACAGCCCCAGGAAAGAACAACCAAGAGTCTTCACAGAAGCTCAAAGAAGCAGAGAACTAGTGATGAGAATCATCTGAACAGGTTAGAAGTGGTGGGGAGCAGGGAACAGACACAGAGAACTGGCGATTCAGGACATGCACAGAACCCAAGGGGGTGGGCAGTGGGGTGTCACTGGGCCCTGGCCTGGGAATTGTGTGGCTGGTGTGACACCTTGAATCACAGGGGTAGTGTCCGTGTCCTGGTTCCTGGGGCCCTTAGTCTTGTTAGTGGGATGATATTATTGAGTTTTTCAATGTGGAAATGAATTTAGCTCCTGGGCAGGCCAAAGAGATTTAAAATACAAATGCTTACTGGTTTATTGAGCAACTACTATCTTCTGGGAAACACTTGCTCCCTCATTTCTATTCTCCAACCCCTCCCTCTGCCTCTGGCTCCACCAGAAGGCAAACCCTAATCTCTTTCCTGAGAGGCTACACTGAGCTATGTGACCCACATATCGTATTCACAAAAGGTCCTCAACTTCCACCTTTGACATTATTCAATTTTGATTATTGGACTTAGCAAGAACTCTGAAGCCAGGCTACCTGAGTTTGATTCCTATTTCTGCCACTTCTACCTGTGTGAACTTGGTCAAGGTACTTAACCTCTCTGTTTCTGTATTCTCATCTGCAAAATGGGAATAACAATAGGTCAAGCCATATACTGTAACCACAAAAAAGCCATATATTGTAGGATTTCATTTATACAAAATATCCAGAATGGATACAACCACAGAGGCAGGAAATAGATCAGTGGTTGCCAGGAGGAATGGGGGAATGACTGCAAATGGGTAGAGTTTCTTTTGTAGATGACAGAATATTCTAAAATTAGAAAAAGATGAAGAGTTATTACTTATGAAGTGCTTAGAGCAGTGTCTGACACATCAAAAGTGATCTGTAAGTCACTGTTAAATAAAACTTACCTCTAAATGAAGACATACGCACTGATGAACTTGGAAAAAATCTGTTCATAATATGATTTGAAAGTGGCATTCCATTCCTGAATCTTACCGTCTGTTGTAGACTTTTTATAAACCCTAAAATTATCTTATGGATAGCATCATTATATTGCAGTATAAATTATGTATATTAAAAGTGTTAATTTGTGGGCTATGGATGTAGCTCAGTGGTAAATTGCTTGCCCAGCATTGCAAAACCCATTGTTCAATTCTCAGCACTGCATGTGCGCACACACACACACACACACACACACACACACATGCACACACACACACTATTAATTTGCAAAATGTGATGACACATGCCTATAACCCTAGCATTCTGGCAGGCTGAGGCAGGAAGATCATAAGTTGGAAGTCAGTCTGTCAACTTAGTAAGCCCCCTGTCTCGAAATAAACTTTAAATCAGGGTTGAGGATATAGTTCAGTGCTCCCTGGGTTCAAGTATCAAACAAATGTGTTAATTTTCTTGACATATATTTTAGCACATTATTTTTATCATAGTGGATCTCTCCCACCTCTGAAATGGGAGGTGTCTCAGGATCTGAAAGACACCCGATGAGCTCTCCCTGAGTCAGACAGTACTGAACACAGGATCTATAAGCCAAAGGAGAGTAGGACTGCACACCCGGGCATTTAGAAGGAAAGCCTGCAGATACAGGCTTCTGGAGGTGGCGTGGCCTTTGATTGGCAGAGAGGGAGGAAGAGGCAGAGAACTTTCAGCCTCCTTCTTTGTCTCCTTCTTTGCCTAAGGATGGATTAAAAAGATGCAACCACAAGAAGGATTCAAGTCAAGAAAGGACCCTGGTCTTACAGTGGAGAGGACTGTCCTTTGTCAACAGATGGTAACACAGCCCACTGGTGTGCTAGGGAATGGCAAACACGTGGCCCTCTCGGGCACGGAGGGAGCCCTCATTAGCAGTGTCTGACAATTTCTGTGGTGCCAACACTTGACACCTTCAAACTACAGACTCAGTGTTTTTGAACCTAAAGCACTAAGTTCCACAATACAGAAACAATAGATGCAAACAACCTTAAGACATACAATAAAACATGCATAGTGAAATATTAGGAACAATAGCTTTTAGTCTCCCTCTCTTCCTCCCTCTCTTTCTCTCTGCCTCCCTTCCTTCCTTCCCTCTGTCCCTCCTTCCTTTCTCCCTTTTGGCAGTACTAGGGATTGAACCAGGGCCTTCTCACTGAGTTACACTTTCAACCTCTTTTTCGTTTCTCATTTTTGAGACAGGGTCTTGCTAACTTGCTAAGTTGGGCTCAAATTTGCTATCTTCCCTGTCTCAGCCTTCCAGAGTGCTGAAATTTTTGTTTCTTAAATAAAAATTTCACTGAGATTTAATTCACAAACTATAAAATTGCCTCCATTTAAAAGTGGCTTTCAGGGCAGTCACAAGGTGGGTAACCATCACTATTATTTAGTTTTAGAATATTTTTATTACTTCAGAAAAAAAAAAGAAACTCCATCTTTATTAGCAGTCCCATTCCTTGTCCTACTCAGCCTCTGGCAACAACTGATCTATTTTCTATCTCTGTGGATTTGCCTAGAAAATTCAGAAAACTGAAATCATACAACAGGTGACCTTGGTGGCTTGCTTCTTTCACGTGGACTCAGGTTTTCAAGGTTCTTGCACATTGTAACAATGGTCAGCAATTCATTCTTTTTCTTTGCCAAATATCCCATCATACGGTTACACCACCTTGTGTTAGTGCATTCATCAACTGATCGGGAGGTTTTCGGGTTTGGGCTATCAGGAAAAATACTTCACTGAATATTCGTGTACAAGTATTTGGATGTTCACTTTCACTTCTCTTGAAATGAAAAACTATAGAAATGGAACTGCTGGATACAAGATGCCTCTGTGTTCCACATTTTGAGGACTCTCCTGGGTTTCAAGGCAGCTGCATCATTTTATAGTGTGATGAGCAATGAATGAGGTTTCTGGTCTCTTCACATTTTCACCAACACTTGTGTTTTTTATTTTATTTTTTTTTCCAGTCCTGGGGATGGAACCCAGGGTCTTGTACTGTTAAATCCCCAGTAGGTTTTTATTTTTCACTTTGAGTTAACATTTCACTAAGGCTGGCTTTGAACTTGTAACCCTTCTGCCTCAGCCTCCCATGTAGCTGGGATTATAGACAGGTGCTACCATTCCTGGTTTAGTGGACCTTTTATAAGTTATCCTAGTGGATATAGATTGGCATTGATTTGCATTTCCTGATGCTTACCGATGTTGAGCATCTTTTCAGGTTTTTTTTCGTCCACTTGTATATAGTCTTTGAAGAAATGTGTATTCATATTCTTTTGTCAAGTTTTTAATTGAGTTAATTACCTTTCCATCATTGAGCTCTGAGAATTCTTTACATCTTCTGCATCCAAGCATCTTATCAGACATGTGATTTGCAAATATTTTCTCCCATTATGTGTGTTATCTTTTTACTTTGTGGTGGTGGCTCTTTGAAGCACTAAAGTTTTAAATTTTGATAAAGCCAACTTTACTTATTTTCCTTTGCTCAGTTGTGCTCACGGTATGTGATCTCTAACCATCACCTAATCTAAGATCCTGAAGATTTACAAAAACTATTCTTTCCTATTGAATTGTTTTGGTACCTTTGTTGAAAATCAGTTGACCATAAAAATTAAGATTTCTTTCAAACTTCCAATTCTATTGTTTAATCTATATGTACCAGTGCAGCATTCTTTTGATTACTATAGTTTTGCTGTATATTTTGAAGTCATGAAGTGTGAGTTCCCCAACTTTTTTTTCAGGATTATTTTGACTATTCTGGGTCCTTTAAATTTCTATGAATAATAGGGCTAACTTCTCATTTCTAAATTTAAAAAAAAATAGATCAGTTTAGGCAGTGTTGTTTAAAAAAAAATAGAAGTTTAGGCATTTTGACTATTCTGGGTCCTTTAAATTTCTATGAATAATAGGGCTAACTTCTCATTTCTAAATTTAAAAAAAAATAGATCAGTTTAGGCAGTGTTGTTTAAAAAAAAATAGATCAGTTTAGGCAGTGTTGCCTGAACCATATTTTTTTTTTTTTGAGACAGGGTCTCACTATGTAGTTGAGACTGACTTGGAACTCACTATGTAGCCCAGGCTGGTTTCGAAGTCACAGCAATCCTCCTGCCTCAGCCTCCTGAGTGCTGGGATTACAGGGGTGTGCCACCACGTCTGGCTGTCTGAACCATATTAAGTGTTCTGATCCATGAATATGGGGTGTCTTTTCATGTTTTGATATTTTTTTTACTGTATTTCAACTAAACTCTAATTCATATATGTTATTTAGAATCTTTGTCTATTATATCCAACTTCTTAGCTTCCTCAGGAAAAATTTTTATTGATTGCTTCTTCAGCCTATATACACAGACACACATATTTTTCTGTTTCTTTGCATGCCCTGTGATTGTTTCTTGATAACTGGGCATTTTCAATTCTATAATGTGGAAACTCTGAAAATAAACTTCCCCTTAAGTCTCTTTTCTGAGGGTTTGCATTATTTATGCTGCTTCTTGGTGTTTTTGTGCACACTTGCACGCGCGCGTGTGCATGTGTGTGTGTGTGTGTGTGTGTGTGTGTGTGTATATGTTTTGAGACAGGGTCTCTCTATGTAGATCAGGCTGGTCTTGAACTTACTATGTAGTCCAGGCTGACCTTGAACTCAGGCAATCCTCCTGCCTCAGCCTCCCACTGCTGCCACTATTCACTTTTTTTTTTTTTTTTTTTTTTTTTTTTTTTGTACCAGGGATCAAACCCAGGACCTCATGCTTGCCAGGCAGGCACTGTGCTGCTGAGCCCTACTATTCACTTTTTAGTGACTTTCCTGCACTAAATCTGTAATCTCTCCCTCTTTTTAAATTGCATAGGCCACTAACTTCTCTGTTCTCTTTCCTTTTTTTGTGTTTGTTTGTTTGTTTGTTTGTTTATTTTGTTACCGGGGATCAAACTTGGGTCCTTCCACTTGCAAGACAGGCTCAAGAACCACTAGGCTAAATCCTTGGTCTTCTGTTCTGTTATCTTAATGGTCAGTTTATGATTGTCCAGAAATTTCCTTAAATGGCTCGAAACAATATGCCTCCCTGGTTTTTGGTATGTGTGTTGGTGCATGCATCCAGTGCTCTTGCAACCTACAATTCTGCCTCAGTCCCTACTTCCTGCTTGCATAGTCTCAAGGTCAGCCAAGAAATGAGGGCCTTCTCATGTCTTTCCTGGGCAAACTTGAGCCCTACACATGCATGTGGCTGTCTAGATTTCTGGGAATATGGTGCAACTTTTCAAAGCCACCATCAACATATTATTCCCTAGTTTTTGAACAGTTAGTGGATGTCACTGGCTTGGGCTGCTGCAATGTTGAGTGATTTTCACTGATTATTTCCAATACACTGGGCATAAAATGGTGCCTTTCCTGGCTTCTTCCAGACAGACCAAATAGTGACAACCATTTGGGGGTTTAGCTTTTGGTGTTGCCCCAAACCTGATCTGTTCCCTTCAGTAGCTTTTAGGTTGCCTATCTTCACAGTACCATGGTGGTGAGGTTTCTGATTTTCAGTACTACCACAGAGGTGGGATGAGAAAAATGGGAATACGGCAAGAGGAAAATGCCACAAAACTCATTATTCTTACCGAGATCTAGCTATTTTTACAAACTTTCGACTAATTTGTAGAAATCTGGATTTTCTTTTTTGTTGTTGTTTGTTTGGTACCAGGGATTGAACTCAGGTCCTTGTAATTGCAAGGCAGGCAACGGAACCACTGAGCCAAATCCCAGGCCCTGTAGAGTTCTGAAGAAGTTCATTTTGACAATTCTTATTACTTTCTATTCTGGAAGCCCTTCTCCTCCTTACCTATGTTTTTCATGTAATTTTTTAATTGTAAATTTAATAATTTAAATTTTAATAATAGCCATGCTTAACAATTGGCATGCAAATTCCTAAAGATCTAACCACTGGCTTTGAAGAGCTGGCACGAGTTTTCTCCAGTACCCACCAACACCAGGACCCTCTTTACTGCCCATTTGACCCAGCTAAACTTGGCAAACTTTTAGCATATCTTGTGGGTGCCAGGTCGCAGAGGTACTACTCACCTGGTACTAAACTGATTTCATATCCTTCAGCATGCCAGAACTTCCTGGCAGGACACTTATAGCCAGGAGGGTCTTCTGTGTGATGGCTTGGCATAGAGCAAAGCTTGGAAAAGGCAATGGCACATGTGAGATCAGCTGCAGAAACACTGAAATATATTTCATCAAATCATGTGAATCCAATGCCAAATTGTGCTAAAGGGTGTTTTCTGATTCTTAGATGAGAGTTAACAGAGGAGTTTTTATTTGTTTTGTTAACTAGAGGTCTTCAAGGGAAATACTGGCCAAAGGTATAAATGGTGAGGTAGTGGTGGGGTCAAGGTTTCCACTAGACATCATCTGAGGAATGTGTACCTTAACCCCTGCTCTGTACAGGGGGAAAAGTTGTATGTGTGTGTTTAAAAAAAACTTTGGGACTTATTCAAATAATAACAAAACCTGCTTTGTGATTATAGAATGACGTGTTTGGGGTGCACTAGAATTATGACTAACTACCATGAGGATTGTGAAGCAGGCCTTCCTTGGGCCAGCGGTGCTGCCAATAGTCATAGAGTGTCTTCACAGGTTATAGTGTGAGTGTTGCTTCACGCCCCTGATCAAAAAGGCTTCATGATAGAAGTAGAAACACAAGAGAGTGATTGTGTCTATTTTCTGGACCTTTTCCTCCTGGCCCTTTCCCACATCAGCAGAAAGGCAGAGAAAGCCATGGAGTTTCTAGCTCACTGTGTCACATAGCTTGAGTGGATCAGCTCAGTTTAGCTATTTAGTGACTTGTCTCAATCATTCAACAAAATGGTCCCTGACCATTGTTTGTGTGTCCAGTGCTGGGTTAGCACTACAGACAGCTGACATTTAGGCGAGATATTTGGGGAGTTTGGAGAATTTGGTAGGTGCCTTTACGGCCAGTTGATACAATTCAAACAGTTCCTTTCATGCATGACTGCACCATAGGGCTTCTCCAGAAAGTATGACATTTCTCCAACCCCAAGCAAGGCCTTTGACCATAATGTTATGCATGATTAGAAAGGGCTTCCTCCACTCTTTCTGTAGGACTAAGGTTCCTGCCTTACCTGGGAGCTGCTCCTGACCGGTATCCAGAACCAAGTCCTAGCACTATTCCTTTAGAAAACACCTGCCCCAAGCTAAGCCCAGTTGTTCAGCTCCCAGGCACTGCCAGCTCAATCGATCACAGCTGCTGTCCTCAGAAAGCTTACAGTCACATGAACAATAAAACATGGCAATGGGGTTGCATTCCCTCCAAGAGCCAGGGCAGGGCACTAGGAGACGCCAGTCATTTTTCCCCGGGATTGGGGAGGATCCTTCCTAGATGAAGTCATATTTCAGGTGTGTCTTGTCAAATGAAAGGAAGAGAGCCTTCCAGGTGGATAAGAGAGGATAGGGGGCCGGGGATTTAGCTCAGCGCTTCGGTGGCCTGCCCTGCAAACGCAAGGACCCGAATTCAATCCCTGATACCAAAAAAAAAAAAAAAAAAAAAAAAAAAAAAGAGGGGATCGGAAGGGCTCTCTTAACAGGAACTGAGTCAGTGGGTGACAAGCTGAGAAACACTCTATTCCTGTTGAATTGAAATAAAAAGCTCAAAACTGCTTGAAGGCTGATAGGATGTGTAGGTAAACCTCTGAAGAATCTGAAACGGCTTTGATAAGTAAAAAAGTCAAGTAAAACAGAACTATTTTTGGTGGTAAAAATACTGAGCAAATAAGGATGAATTCTGGGTGGATTTTTATGATCTTTTTTATATACCCCTGTATTTTTAAATTTAAAACAATTGTCGATTTTACCTGCTGCCCACGCACTCCTCTGTCTGCAGAGGGCGCCCCGGTGCTCCCCTCTCCTCCTCCAGAGAGATGGGCTGGGCCTCCGGGACAGGTTCTGACTGACGATTGGCTGCCCATCTGTCCATCACAGAGTCCCGCCCCCCTCTCTACGTCACATGACGCAGCCCATCATGGCGCCGGGAGGGCAGCTGCCCGGGCCCGCGGTTCCGCAGGGTGGCCGCTGTAGCTACTGTTAAGAGGCAGCGGCAGCACAGCGCAGGCAGGCGGGAAGGATGATGTTTCTGCAGCCGGAGCGGCGGGTGCGGAACAGGAGCCGGGTTGAGTTTGGGCCGAAGCAACGTTTGCTCAGGAGCAGCCCGCGCGGGTGCCGCTGAGGCAGTACATACTAGTGGACTGACGGACCCAAGGAAGGCGACCCGAGAACCGTCTCCGGGGGACTGTGCCGTGGACGAGATGCCGGGACCGCCCGCATTGCTGCTGCTGCTGCTTTTGCGCCTGGTCGTCGGTTATGCCGGGGCCGCGCCACTTCCGCAAACAGGTGCAGGTGAGCTGGCCGCAGTGGGGACTGGGCTGCGGAGCACATGCGGCGGGGTGGGGGCGACGCGGGTGGCGGACCGGCTGAGTCTGGTCTCTTACTTGGAGAGATCAGAGGGCCTGCCGAGGACAGGAGGCCGGGGGAAGGTAGTGATGAGGGAGATTTCTGCCGCAGGGGCGTGGGATGGGGGTTGGGGGGAGAGACCGACGCCATGGGGGCTGCGGAGGGCAGACTAGGTGGCAACGACCGACCCCTTTCCCGTTGGGCTGCGATACCATCTCTGGACCTGTTGCCTAAATGTCCTCATCTTGTATCCTTTGTGGCAATGCTGTCCCCTTTGCAGATGTCATCTGCCTCTTGTGCGTTTCTCACATCTTATGGTAAGAGCCCGTTTTCTTAGCTCTCATCATACTTAAATGCAAATGAATTGGCAGGCTCTTCGGGAGTTTCCTCGTAACTTATTCTGAAGTTGTAAATTGATTTTAAACGCTGTGCTTTTTATTCGGAATCAATCTCTGGGGATGAGAAGGAAACAACGATAAATATTTCTATTTTAGGAAGCCAGTGATTAGTTGCTTTGGAATACCTATTGACAAACTGGCCCGAAGGTAATTGAAGTTTCTATTTTAACAACGTCAGTGTGTGATTTTCTTCTTTCTTTTCTTTTTTTTACTCCCCTCTTCTTCCACGTTTTCGAATGTCGTTTTCATTTGGGGCTTATTATGCTAAATAAAACTTCAACCCAAGAAAGCTGCTCAAGTTGGCTTTTAAAAAAGGGGGAAAAAATCTAGGCTAGTTTGCCATTATTGGCTGCTGCTTGTCTTTGAAATGGGGGGAGACTGATATTTTCATAGATCCATACAGTTCTAGAGTTGAAATTGGAAGGAACCTTAAACAGAATTTAGTCTTTCTTCATCTTGAAAATGAAGAATTGGGGACTGTGGTGGTCAAATGATCTACCCAAGGTGACACAGCTAAATTATGTTTGGAGCTATATACACTCAGGTCTTAGATTTCCCTCTTTGTGTAATTTTTTTTTTTCCTGTTCACCTCAAGACTTGTTAGGGTTAGTTTGGAATGTTAATAGAGTGCAGAATGTAGAAATTCTGCCTCCAGGAAAGACACATTTTTTTCAAGAAAATCTGCCATGAAAGCTTGTAATTGCTTCCAGAGCCACACCAGGTTATGCCATTGAGTTCCCTTTAGTTACATGTAAGATATTTTACCATGTAATGATGCAGTGTTAAATTTCTGCCACTCCCTTAGATCATTTCTTTTTAAGGTGAATTCTGTGTTTGATCCAAAAGGTAAGAAGAGTACAATGTCAGAAGTGTATAGGCAGTGCAGGTGTAAGTTCCAGAAAGCACTAAGTTAACGAGAGATTGTATGGAAAGGTAGTGATGATGATAATTAAGCATATTGATGTTGAAATTGAAAATTAGCACTAGAGTAGGCTAGTGGATGAGAAGAGTGTATGTCAAGAGGGTTCAGGAAGCTTCTAGAAGTCTTTGCACATAATCAGATTTTTAATATTTTAACATAGGTTCTTTTATTCTTTTGTTTTAGGATTTTATGCAGGGATGAATTACAAAAGGTTGAGGGGTTTTTGGGTTTTTTTTTTTTTTTTGAGTTTTGTAGAACGAAGCAATCAGAAAAATCCATTAATATAAATATCTAATCTTGATGTAAATAAAGCCCAAGGAAATAAATCGTTGATTTATAGCAACTTTTGCAGATTTTCCTTTCACATTCTGATCATTGAAGGGGAGGTATGTAGTTAAATATGTTGTATATGAATAATAGGTACCTAGGGCTAAATTCTGTGAAAGGGGGTACAATTAAACATAGATATGGGCCAGGTGTGGTGGCTCATGCCTGTAACCTCACCCTCTAAGAGGCTGAGGCAGGATGATCACAAATTTGAGTCCAGCCTGGGTAGCTTAGCAATTTAGTGGAGACTCTGCCTTAAAATTAAAAATAAGAAAAGGGCTGGGGACTTAGCTTACTGTGAAGGCTGTAGTTTCAATCCCCAGTACAAAATGGAAAAACAAGAAAATAGGAGTTTGTCTTTCCATCTGAGTCTATTAATCCCATAACTAGGATAGATCTTGATCAAGATGTTTTATTTTATTTATTTATTTATTTTTGGTACCGGGGATCAAACTCGGGTACTTGCGCTTGCTAGGCAGGCCACCGAACCACTGAGCTAAATCCCTGGCCCTTGATCAAGGTGTTTTAGAAGAGTAAAGAAACCTTTGAGCTAATCTTGATTAATGAACTCACAAGTTAAGAAAGAAGAACTTCTCTTGAACATATATGGTGAATAAAAGAGCACTTACACATTTAAAACATCAAGCTTCTGATGATTTAGGGGCCTGTACTCTACAATATATAGGGCTAGTCCCTTTCAAGTACGGCTAGACGTTTGCATTGAGTCTTTTGTCTCTTTGGTATCACTCTCTCTCTGAAGTTGTCTATTTATTAGTACCTTGGAGAAAGCATGCTCATCAGAAATGGGTTTTAAAAAATACTTGAGTTGTATCTTTTGCTAGTGTTTTTTGGGGGAAAAGGGCTGTGTAGTCAACATCTGGCTTGGAACTAGCCATGTATCACAGGCTGGTATTTATGTTCCTCCTGCCTTAGCCTCTCGAATGCTGGAATCAGGCAAGACCCACTGTGCCTGGTTCTGCAAGCCTATTTATTGGGGAAACAAATGAGATTATGAAATACAATTCATCTTTTAAGTAAAAGTTCATTTATCCAAGGTGTCTTTGTCATGCAGAATCATTTGTAGGTTTGGAAGTTAAGGTGTTTATTCATTGAATCATAATAAAGTTATGTAAATATGTGGATTGCTCTTGCCTAGCAGGCCAGAAGGCATTTCTTGTTTGGACTTTAATTTGGGCCTCTCCATGGCTGTGGGATGCCCTCTTGCCCCTCTGGCTATGAGCATCTTTTCCTGAGAATCCGTAGTTCTTTAGCAAGAGTCCTTGTTGTTAGGGTAGATCTTGCTGGTCCTTGATAGGAAGCTTATGTCAAGAGAGACAATCCACCATTTTTCACATACTGTTAAATGACCAAACTAACTTCATAGTTTAATTCTTTTCTTCAGATCACAGTTATCAGATCATTCTTCTCTTGGAAAACATTATGTGCCTTTTGTAAGATTCTCAGGATTCACATCATAAATTAGGATTTAAAATAAAGATAGATACTGTACATGTATATGTGAAAGCATTCCCCTGAGCCCACGCTTTCTTATTAATAGGATAGTGGTTAGACAGGGAAACCCATTTCTATTGTTCTGCGGCATATTAGGTCAGACAGTACAGAGGAAGCTTTTAGCAGTTCCAGATAAAGGCCCTCATGGAAGCTTGGGAAGCAAGCCGGTGGGACTCAGCCACTGATTAATTGCATCTTGGGGAACTTGGGCTCTCATTTCAGATTAAACAAACAGACTAACATCTTGAAGAAGAGTTCTAAAGTGAAGGAAGTGCTTTCTAAGTGTGAATTTTTGTGTTAACTAGCTCCTGAGAAATAAAAATTATTTTCTATGCAGATTCTTTCAGGATTTATATTTGTGAGGTTTGAAATTGGATTTAGGTTGGGATTGCTGTATTTGCTTTTCTATGGGTGATATTTTTGTTACTAACCGTGCTCATCTACACAGTAATAGTCTGTCCGATTTTGTAGCTGGTCAGCACTGAAGTTACCAAATCCCTATTGTTTTGCTGATATCAGTGTGCCTACTGTTCATGCAATTTTCTTGAAATTTGGAGAGTCCTTGGGCCCTCTCTGTCCCTTGTGAGCTGTGTCACTTAGATAATAGTGCTATGTGTAATAAAAAAAGACATTGTCATATAAACAAGGGATGTGCAGGGTTCTGAAACAGTTAAGCAAGTCCTCAAATAAGTCCTTGTAGACAACATAGAAAAAGAATCCTGACTTTTCAGTGTGGTTGAGAATAAAATTCACAAACTAATTGTTGTCTTAGAAGGAACTTCACTTTGGAGTTAGACCTGGATGTGTGGTTTCTCGTTTTCACTTTACTACCTTTGAGATCTTGGCCAGTCACCTGGCCTCTTCAGGGTTCTTAGAACTCAGCTGTTGAAAGAATGATGATGATGATGATGATGATGACGACGACGACGACAACGACGACGTTGTTGTTGTTGTTGGAAGGGAAGAGCAGTATCATGGCAGCACCCGTGTCTGCTACACATTATGTACTGGGTCATGTGGATGTATTCATTGTGTCGGCAGTTTTTGTTTTGTGCTGTGTGCGTGAGAGAGAGAGAGAGAGAGAGAGA